CCCCTGGGACTCCTCCAGCCAAGCCGACCTTGAGCAACCTCGTAATTGAGTCGAAGGGAAGCCCCTTCCCTTTGATCCCTCCCCCGCCGGGAGGGGGGGGGGGTAGCGGGGGGGGGTAGCGACCCCTCCCCCGGGTCAGATACGACGCCCCCCCCCGTACCGACCTTGAGCAACGTCGTAATTGAGTCGAAGGGAAGCCCCTTCCCTTTCCCTTCCCCGACGGAGCAACGTCGTAATTGAGTCGAAGGGAAGCCCCTTCCCTTTCCCTTCCCCGACGAGGGGGGGAGGGGGGTTCCGGGGGGGGTCCCAGGGGAGTCCCGGGGAAGTCCCGGGTCAGATACGACACCTCCCTCCCCCACCTTCTCGTCCTTCTCCCCGTTCCCCAAAACCATCCCACAGCCCGTGCCTCTTGCTGCGCATTGCGAACAGGGTCGGCGGCACCGGCCGTAAGGCCTTCGCAATATGTGTAGATGGTTGCCCTTGCGGCCCTTGCGGCCCACCTTGTGTTCCTGCACGCCATCGCTTAATGATTAGTCTGTGACTGCTGCTGCACGTTGCTTCCTATCTGTTATGTACATCTGTACAGTGTATAGCACTGCGGCCATCGTTCGCCCCGTGGTACCTGAAGAGGGGAGAGGTGGATGTATGGAGATGGAACATAGGAAGCAGGAGGAGGAGAAGCAAAAGGAGGATGCGGAAGAGCAATGAGAAGAGAACAAGAAGAAGAAGAAGAAGAAGAAGAAGAAGGTGCGAGCGTGTTGGGCCAGACAGGCGGCAGGTTTCGCCGCCACTTCCCTCGTCGTATCCATGCGACCCAAAATACCATAAGCACCAGGAGCAGAAACGGAAAGAGATGGCATAGTCCCGCACAGGGTCTATTTGCTCGCGCCGCCAACTCCTATGCGACACTGGGCCCTCCAGGTGTCCCCGCCGTGACCCTCGACCGAAAAGCCTACGGTGAGATAACTTGCTGCCGACACCACTACCGACGATCCCGATACGATAAATTGGGACTGCCCTTTTCTGTGCCTTTGCGTCCATCTCGTCCGCCTGCCCACCCGCCAGTGTCTGTTTGCTCCATCCCTCTTCCTTCTAAATAACTCCGCCCTGCCGCACCCCCAGGCGTATCTGTAGGGCGGGCCGCGCGTCTGAGACTCACATGCCTGATCCTGCAACTCAAAATGTGTAGTAGACTGAAGGATGGAGGAAGGATGAGTTTTACTTTGTGGTTCTCGCCTTGGCGCCGCGCACACAAGTCCTAAACATCTACAGCAAATTTGTCAAAATGCGTATCTCGCCTTAGCGCCATGCGCACTCGTCTTCCAAGTTTGTAGCAGTTTCAGAGATGAAGGGACAGTGCTCAACATGTGGCCCTCGCCTCAGCACCGTGCACACTCGTCGTACAAGTTTGCGAAAGCTTCAGTGATGGAAGTGGGGCTGGTTTCGAATATGCACCCTCGCCTTAGCACCACACACAATCGTTTTTCCGTGTTTGCACGATCTTCACTGGTGCAAGGTGGTTCCATTTCAAAGCGGGGATTTCGACTGAGCGCCGCGCACATCCGTATTAAGATCGTTGAATCGTTTCAAGGGGTTGGGGACTGCCCGTTTCCATAATGGTGTTCTCGCCCCGGCGCCACACACATTCGCGTTTGGTAGCGTAGTGTGTAATGCCTTTGAAGGATGGAGGACTGTCTTTTTTCTATCTGGGATTGTCGCTGGCCCTCCTGCTAGGCTTCCTCCTCCTCCTCCTTGCCCTCCTCCTTGCCCTCCTCCTTACCCTCCTCCTTGCCCTCCTCCGTGTCCTCCTCCTTGTCCTCCTCCTTGTCCTCCTCCTTGTCCTCCTCCTCCTCCCACTCCTCCTCTTCCTCCGCTTCCGCCTCCTTCCTTCTTTCTCCTCCTTCTCCTCTCCTTCTCCTCCCCCTCCTCCTCCTCCTCCTCCTCCTCCTCCTCCTCCTCCTCCTCCTCCTCCTCCTGAGCCTGCCACTCCCCCCCCGTCATCCCCTTTTCCCTCTTCATCGCCCTCGTTGTCCCCCCCGACAGGAGGCGGCCTACCACGGTAACGTCCACGTGCACCACTTGGCAAGGCGCCCACGAGTCCTGAGCGCTGGGAAGCGGGGGCGCGGGCGGCCCCGCGCCCAGCCGCGGGCGGCTGAGTCTGCGGCTGCTTTTCTCCCCGCGGACGGTTCCACGGCTGGGACGGGGCGGCCCCGAACCCGACGCGGCCCCCGAGGCGTCCCTTCGGCGTGGCCTGCTTTGAGCGGACGAGGCGTTCCGCCGCGGCGCGGCCGCCGCCCGGCAAGCCCCTCTCCTTCCCCGCCTCTTCAGCGCCCTCTTCGGAGAGCGCGCGAGCGCCTGACGGCGGGGTCGGGCGGCTCACGCCCCGCGGCCGCGCGCACGTCGCGTCCGCGATCTGGTTGCCCCCTCGTTCCCTCCCACTTCAGCCGTTTTCGTTCCTGGGTTTCCAAGCGGAGGCCGGGCAGGGCGTTTGCTCGGGCACTCGGCGGAAGTGGTCTGCGAGCCGCGTCGTGTTTCGCTGGCGCCACCCGCAGCTGCGACCCCATCGGGGGCGTCCAAGCAAAGCGCGCCCAAAACGGGGTTAGCGAATCATGCCCGAAGCACGTGCGCGGACGAGGGGGAAACACGGGACGTGTTGAAGTAAGAAGATGGGCCATGATAGATGGGAAATTGCATGACCCCGGCCACGAAGTCCCCCCACCCTTCCAATCTTCACCGCCGTCCAGAACGCCCCTGTCCCCGCGGGCCGGCTTCAACGTGAAGATGGCCTGGGAAGGGAAGGCGAGAGGATCCCCTCGCTGCGACAACCCCCCGCTGAACCGCCGGCTCCGCCAAGTCCGCGGGCGGCAGGTACATGAAAAGGGAGGAGGGGGAGGAGGAAGAGGACGAGGACGAGGACGACGACGACGACGAGGACAAGGAGAGCGAGCAGGGAAATCAGGAAGAGGAAGGCATCGATGATACTGAAGCAGGCGATGGCGCTGGCAGCGGCGATGATGACGGCGATTATGAGAACGGACGAGGAGTGAGCCCACACGGGGCCGACGGCACGGATGGGGCGAAAATCGGTGAGAGTCCGAACATGCAGCTCGACAGCGCAGGCTGCGAGCGCAAGTGCGCCCGAGCCAGGGGCAGCAGGCCAGCGACAGAAGGGAGAGGACGCGACCGCGCCCGATCAGGCGGCACGACCAGGCCTCGGGGGGAGAGAGCACGGGCGGCGGTACGCTCGAACTTGCCAAGACATCGCGCACGGGCAAACGGACAAGAGAAGAGCTGACGTGCGCAGCCACAGCCCAGTCGCACCAGCTGCGCGCCATAGAGGCGGCGACCCTTCAAGACACGAGCGCGACGAGGTCGGAACTCCACCCCACCCTCCACAAATTCTAAGGGGGGGTCGGGGTTTATTTCGCTCGGGAGCTCCCGAACGAAGTGGCCCCCGCAAACCCCCCCTTAGAAATCGTTGGGGGTGGGGGTAGGGTTCACATGTGGTCACCGGTGGAGGCCACAATGCAAGGAACCGCGGGCAAGGGCAACCCAAGCACCACCCGCGGGAACGGCAACGGCACGGCGGAGAAGCCCCGGGAGAGACACAGGAAAGGACGCACGGCAACAGCACCAGCGACGACAACAGGAGCAGCACGGGAGCCCCCAGGGGCACTCAATACAGTGGGGGCCAGTCCACAAGAAACCTTCCACAAGAAACCCAGCCCTGAGACCCCAGGACGCTCATTGGTTTTTGGTGTGGGCACGTCACGCTCCCCATGGCAAAAACATCGAAACCCAAGAAATCAAGGGCACGCGGGAGGCGAGCAGGGTGTTTCTTGGTACGGGCCCCCACTGTAGGGCGCACAAAAACGCTGACCCAACAAAGACTCAGGGCGGAACGCTCGAACTTGTCAGGGCCTCGCGCACGCAAGGGCAGCGGCGCCAGGTTGCGAGCAGACGACAGTCACTCACCTGCGAGCAACTGTGGAGCACCTGGGATCAGGTCACTGGACAGGGGGGGGGGGGGCGACGCACAAACTGCATAGCCGCGCAGATCGGGGAGTGGCGCTACATTATTAACAAACGATGTAAGGAAGGAAGGAAGGAAGGTAGGAAGCGCTGCGGGGGGGCTCCCGTGCCCGTGCCTAGGGAGGCGCCGAACTCGCTAGCCTCGTGGAACAAAGAATCTTGCCAGTTAACAAAAGATGGCGGCCTTCGAAGACTTGCTGGGGAACCGAATTAACCTGGGCCTGGATTTGAAACTGGGAATGGGCACTCGCAAAACAGTCGACCAGCGCGCACAGAGTCACATCTAGTCTGAGGAGGGCGTCCATCGACGCGACAGAAGGCTGGACTTAGTTCGGGCATGTCCCACTACAGGCGGATTTGGGAGGAATAAAACATGAATAACAGCAGCAGCAGCAGCAACAACAACAGCAGTGCTCAAACATATTCAAACAAATACTAGATACATCTTTTGACTATTTTTGAATATTCCCCCATAGAATGACACGGCCGACTTAAGGCTGGAAACGGGGCGGCGACGCCGCGAGAAAGAGCGGGCGAGCCACAGAAGAGAGGGACCTGATCTCGGGGCAGCGCGCACGACGTGACCCATCACCACGCCCGCCCCTGCATCCGAACAAACAGTGTGTTGGGTGGGCACGACTTCGAGCAGTCGTCCAGACCCACTGCGGATAATGCGGAAGGACAGCCACCATTTAGAAACATCGGAACCGCACTGCAGACAATCCTTCTCTGCAGTCTGAAAACAGGGGAACCGAACATCGGGCGGGAGAGGAAGAGGCAGTCACTTCAGAACACGACGAGGAGACTTCATCTGATATAAAGCCAGGGCGATCATCATTCCGATGAGCTTTGGATATCTGAACCTGGGTCACAGAGCGGGGACCTTTGGGCACATCGCACGAAGGCGACGGGGCAAAGGCAAAGTAGAACTCGCCCATCTAGAAGACCAAAGAGCGCACATACCACCCACGCTGCAGACGATAAAGAAAGAGGCCCCGCGACTGCTCAGACAAATCGGACAAACTGTTCTGGAACTCCCACCATGCACTCGAGCGACTGGCACTGCGAAACACCGAAGCCGGGGTGACATGCCTGACGGACAGACACTGAGCGCTGCAGCCTGAGTCGACGAGGGCGCGCATCATGGGGCCACCGAGACTATCACGCGGAGCGGCATAAATGACCTGAAGAGCGCGATCCTCGAGCTGAGGGAGACGGCGGCTGGCCTGTGAACCTGCAGAACGCAACTGCGCACCGAAACAGCACGAGCGACGCATGCGACGATGGACCCAGCCAGGCCCGCCCCCACCAGACGAATCCTGTACGCTCTCCGGAAGCACTTCTCGCAATGCGTTGGAAACGAAGGCCAAAACGGATGTTGGAGGCGCTGGAGCGCCTATGACCGCTTCGGCGAGAGGACACAAGCCGCTGATGTCACATAGGTTGCGGACCCGTTTCGACGCCTTTGGAGGGGGGCGCAACGCACCCCCCCTCCCCTTGGCTCCTCCTCGTCCTCCTCCTCGTCCTCCTCGTCCTTCTCCTCCTCCTCCTCCTCCTCCTCCTCCTCCTCCTCCTCCTCCTCCACCTCCTCCTCCTCCTCTCCTCCCTCCTCCTCCTCCTCCCTCCTCCTCCTCCTCCTCCTCCTCCTCCTCCTCCTCCTACTCCTCTCCTCCTCCTCCTCCTCCTCCTCCTCCTCCTCCTCCTCCTCCTACCTCCTCCTCCTCCTCCTCCTCCACCTCCTCCTCCTCCTCCTCCTCCTCCTCCTCCTCCATCCTCCTCCTTCCTCCTCCTCCCCTCCTCCCTCCTCCTCCTCCACCTCCTCCTCCTCCTCCTCCTCTCCCTCCTCCTCCTCCACCTCTTCTCCCTCCCCTCACCACTATTCCTTCCTCCATCCACCTCCCTCCTCCTCCCTTCCTCCGCCTCCTCCTCACTCCTCCTCCTCCCTCCTCCTCCTCCTCCTCCACCTCCTCCTCCTCCAGTTTCGTGCTCCTGCTCCTCTCCTGCTCCTGCTCCTGCTCCTGCTCCTGCTCGCTGCTCCTCCTCCTCCTTCCTCCTCCCTCCCCTCCTCTCCTCCTCCTCTCCACCTCCTCCTCCTCCTCTCTCCCTCCTCCTCCTCTTCTCCTCCCCCTCCCCCGTCCTCCTCCTCCTCGCTCCTCCTCCTCCCTCCTCCTCCTCCTCCTCCTCCTCCTCCTCCAGCCGCCGGGCCGCCGCCGCCGAGCCGCAGCCGCCGCCGCGCCTGCCGCCGCCGGCCGCCAGGCCGCCGCCGCGCCGCCGCCGCCTCCTCCCCTCGCTGCCTCCTCCTCCTCCTCCTCCTCCTCCTCCTCCCTCCTCCTCCTCCCCTCCTCCTCCTCCTCCTCCTCCTCCTCCTCCTCCCTCCTCCACCACCTCCGCCTCCTCCTCCTCCTCCTCCTCCTCTTCCTCCTCCATCTTCCTCCTCTAACGCGCCCCCCCCCCCCACCCCTGATCGCTCTCCTCCAAAATGGGCCCAAGATTGCCTCCGACGCTCCCGAGAGCGCCAGGGGGGGGCCCGAGAGACGCCCGGGAGGCAAAGAGGCCCCCAAAGAGACCCCAGAGGCCCTCGACGGGGCTCCGGGAAGCTCCCCCGAGGAGCCCAAGACGCTCTCAGAAACCCCCAAGACGCTCCCAATTTCCTCACCCCGAGGTCTGCATGAAGCTTTCAGGTGGCATCAGGAAAGACTCAGGGCACCCGAGGCCTCTGGCGATTTTGCTCGCACTCCCTTCCCCCGCCCAACCCAGCCCTCCACCCCCTCCCCACCCCCGTCGGCTCGGCCCCGCATGCCCCGGCGAACCCCGCGGTGTCGGGGGGGAGGGCGCGCGACCGATTAGAGCGCCCACAATGGCCCAATAATACGGTTCCAGGAGGGCCACGCGCAGCATACGAGGGATTCCAAGATGTTCCAAGATAGCGCGGGGTCGACCGCACGGCCCCGCCCGAGCCCTAGACGGCCCCGAGACGGCCCGCGCGGGCCACGTGAGAGCCGCTCGAAGAACAGAAAATGGAGGCGTCACGCGTCGCGGCCATCTGGGCGGGATCAAGAAGCCCCGCC